TAACTTCTTGACACCAAAGGAAGTGAAAGAGCTATAACTCTGGCCTCCAGAGCTTTGTGAACAGAGGGTAGCCATGTCTCAGGTATGTGACAGGAGGTGCAGTCTCCATAGATGGAGCTCATGGCCCATCCCTGAACAGAGCTCAATGCCTGAGTCTGTGCACACTGGGTTAAGCCAAGAGATGACACTCCAGGCAGAGGGGATGGTGTAGATGGGACAAAGAGAGCAAGGCAGCCAGCTGGTCCCCAGAAGAGGGGCACAGACCCCAAGCTGTCAGCTGTATTTGACTTTTCTCCCCTCTGGAGACCACCTGTAGTACTGACTATAATGAGAGAGCTGGGAGACAGGAACTCTAGCAATGGTGAGCTTGGTTGCCCATGGGGGTCTTCTGAGGATGCAGACTGGAGCCCAGAGTCCCTCCTGGCTCTGATGGTCTTTGCTTCTGCAGAGACAGCCTTGCTCATGGTAATTTCAGACTTCTGTCTCCAGCTGGTGCTAGCACCACAGATGGATGTAAAGGCGACAGCTTCAAGAGAAAAAATGCGCTTTCTGGTTGATTTTCATTTTTCAGACACACATAACTTCTCTGGTTCTTAGAAAATGCTTTTAATAGAGCACTGGCTCCCTCCTCAGTGGCAGGAGACAGATTTAAGGACTGAAGCTCAGAGCTGAGAGCAAACCAGCACACAGTGATCCAGGTGTGATGATTAGATTGACATTGCTGTGCTGATTTAGTGAAAGTTCAATGCACCTTGGAAACCGTGACCGGGCTGTGTGGTGTGGCAGGTGTTCTGCTGGTCTGACCCTCCTCAGAGTCACATCTCAGGTTCACCTGCTAATCGGCTCCCTTCTGGGGTGGAGTCAGCAGGCACTGAGCATTGGGTCACAGAAGCTTTGAGCAGGGCAAAATTTTAGATACCTGCTCTGAGACCTTTTCACCCTGAGGTGAAAGGATCTGTCTTGTGGCCCCAGAAACACCTGAGCTGGAACAAGAACAGAAACTGGCACAACTCTGATGAGAAAGCAGTTTGTCCTGTGTGGGTGGGTTCCCTTGGCCTCCTGCCCTATTTCTCATCCCAAGTAGTCTCCCTGCCATCCTTGAGGACACCTACTCTGAACCTCCTGGGGCTCCCTCTCCTTGCTGCTCCTTTCCTCTGTCTGGGGCAGCAGTGCCTGTGTCAGTGGTACAGAGCAGTGCCACTGGCACTCAAGACAAGGGAGGCTCCCTTGGCCACAAACTGGTCTGCCTAAAGACCACCCACCACAAAGCCTTTACTTCACGAGGATGAGGCTGGAGGGCAGGTGACTGGCCGGGTCACACAGCCAGCCTCAAAGCACCAGGACTTGAGAGCCCAGGGCCTCTGCTTCCTACCAGGCCTCTCTCTACACAGAGGTGGGTGATGACCAAGAACAGAGCCCAAGAGAATGGAACAGGGGTGGGGGAAGATTAAACAATACCATGTCCCCACACTCTGCACTGGGCTTTCCAGAGATCAGGAGGAGGGGAGGTAGAGATGTAGTGCCTGAGGAGGGATCTCGCAGCTCCATGGCCCTGTGTTTCTGAGCTTAGGGACACAGGTAGGGGGCAGGCAGGAGGAGGACACGAGGAACACCCTCCCATGGCCATGCCTAAATCTAGAAGACCGGTGACCTCCACACAGCACCTAGAGGGACGAGCGGGACCCAAGCCACTGGGAAATGGGCAAAGGCAGGGGCCAGGGAAGGAGACAGGAGCCCCGGCTGGCACCTCCCACTGCCAGTCCATCAAAAGCAGGGTAGAGAGGATTCAAGATGGCTGGTTTCAGAAAGATGAAACCAGCTCTGACAAGCAGATACACATTCACTCATCAGGTGCTGGTTATGCCCCCAGCTCTTACTGACAGCACTGTCCCTGCAGCACAGTGACATGGGCACCAGGAGAGGAAAGCAGGGGTTGTGAGGAATAACCAGTTGAGGCAGGCTAGGTGAGTGTCCAAGGCTGAGTCAGGCTGGGTCCTGGCCAAGGTACCATCTCTGTGCTAACGTGCACAGTACAAAGAAGACATCAGGTGTGGGGAAACTGCAGACACACCTGAGGACTCCCTGCCCCAGCCACAAACAGCACTGTCCCCAGTCTAGGAAGGAGGTTAAGAGCTGCCACCCCTGCAGTGCTGTGAACCACCTCCCAGCCATCAAAACTAAGGCCAGAAGCTGGCAAGCAAAAGGGACCTCTAGAGAGCCCTGGCTGGCCAGCAGGGCTTCGAGAATTTCATTTAAGCTTCCAAAGCAGCCTCACTCTTGGTGGCAGTGTTGTGACCATTCTGCAATGTGAGCAGGACAAAAATTCTCACCCTTATGGATATTATGATGCTGGGTCAGAGGAATCAAGTGCCATACCAGCTTCCAGCTCCACCTCTAACCTCACAGCACCCCCTGGATGTTTTCTGGAATCCAACTGGTGTGTGAAATAAGGCCAAGCAATCACTACCCTATGCTTCAGGGCCCCAGTACTCAGAATACATGCTGTATTGTTCTGAGCCCACAGGCCCTGCTCAGCCCCTCTGCATTCAGTGAACCCCATCTTGTGTTCCTGAGGAAGGAACCAAGGGTAACAGACTCCAGCACAAGAACGTTGAGAACCTCAGGCTGCTGGTAGAGAAGCTTGCAAATCCCCTAACACTGCCCCACCCCCACACTGACTCACACAGCCGGCTAAGGGTCCTTTGACCCCTGCCTCTGCGTGTGACTGACAGCAGCCAGCAGAGCTTTGAAAAATGCGATCTAGGTAGATCCTCCTGCTTAAACCCTCTGTGGCTGCTTTGTTAGTACAAAACCCATGACCTGAAAGTCCTCAGTAGCCAGCACCTTGCTTAGCTCAAAACCTTCCTGCCCCATGATTTCCGAGAGCCTGCCACCAAGTGCCCCTCTGGGCTCTCCCGAAGTGAGTGGCCAGCCCCAGGACCGCCTGCCACAGGGTCTGGCACCCGAAAGGACTCCATGGGATGAGAGCCATCGGCAGAGAAGATGTGAGAGGTGAGCGAAAGGCCACCGCACTGCTCGCCTTTGGGCTCCCTGCCTGACATAAGTGGTTTGGAAACAGAGGACAGGGCACAGCAGAAGGACACTCAATTACTAACCAGGGTCTGTGCTCACTGCAGACATGCTCTAAGGTCTCAGCTGAGATCTAGAGAAAGTGAACTTGAGTCTCCACTAGGCCATTGCTCTCTTGGGGACAATAGTGCTACGCCTTCCTTCCACGGGGAACGAGGAAGGTGGTATGGGGTTCTGATGCTGAGCACAGGACCCGGGCAGACACAGAGACTGTGGAGGGGAGGTGAGCCATGGGCACACCAAAATCTCTCCCAGAATTGTCTCCGTTCTCTCCCCACGATTCCATACACTTTCTTTTATAAAAGAGATCAGAGACGAATGGGAAAAGCAGGGGGGGAGGGCCCTTCAATCCTTAGAAAATTTGCATGTTAGTGAACAGCTAATTCTACCACATTGAAACCCAATACAAGCTGGGCGCAGTGGTTCACACCTGTAATTCCAACTACTTGGGAGATGGAAACAAGGACTGCAATTTGAGACCAGCCTGGGAAAAAAGTTAGCAAGACCCCTCCAATTCAATAAATAAGCCAGTCATATGGCACACATCTATAATCTCAGCTACATGGGAGGCAACAGGCAGGAGGATCACAGTCTGAAACCAGCCCAGGCAAAAGCTGGCAAGACCCCTTCTCTGAAACAAAATACAGGCTGGGCACAGTGGTTCATGACTAATCTCAGCTACACAGGAAGCTGGAGGTAGGAGGACTGTGGTCTAAGACTGGCCCCCGTTAAAAATGTGAGACCCCATCGAAAAATACTGGAAGCATAAAGGGCTGGGGTTGTGGCTCAAGTGGTAGAGCTCCTGCCTAGCAAGCTGAAGGCCCTGAGTTCAAACTGCAGTACTACTCTGTAGCAAACCCAGGGAGAGGGCATGAATGGGGCTCACACTCCTGCCATCCCAAAGTGCTGAAGGACCCACAGGGCCCCTCCGCCAGCCATGCATACGCTCGACACAAGGCGTGGAAGGTGTCTTTATTAGATTGCAAGCAAGCACAGGTGGACCACGTGGAAGGCTCAGCAACTGCCATACAGTGGAAAATAGAAAAAACAGAAACAAAACTTCACAGGAAGCAGCTTCCCCCAACACATGGAAAAGGCTACCCCGGGCAGCAGGTCAAGCTTCTCTCAGAATGCAGGGAAGCATGAGCTATCAGTACCTGCATCAAAGACAGCCCCACCTTGGCAACCCTCCCACCAGCAGGTGGGGCACTTCCCAGCCCCATAAGGGACAGAGACAACCACCGTCCCCAGTCTGCTGGCTGCAAGCCATTTCTCCATCATGTCACCAGCCAACTGGGCCAGAAAAGGGAGCAGGCAGGGGTCAATAAAGCCACCACCTGTGCTCCTGCAAATGCACTGAGGGTGTGCCAATCCATCTGTGTGAAGGAGGGCACTGGACTTGCATGTGTACAGCTGGATCAGAGCACAGAGGCCGGGCCAGGATGGTGCAGGCCCAGGGTTCTGAGACCCATCCTGTATAGGCCTCTGCCTGCCTGCACAAGGACGTCACTGCCTTGGGGAACAAAAGGTAAGAATGAAGGAAACACAAGCTCTGTGCACTCTCCACTTGCTGCCTCCACATACCACGGGTGGCTTCACACTCCACCTGCTGGCCTCCTCAGGCAGGCTTCCCTCCAGGAATGTTCCTGGAATGCAGTTCCTCTGCATTGGGCTCAGAGAGCCGCCTGCTGGAAGCCTCTTTCTGAAAATGGCTTATTAGGAAGGTTACAGAAGACTGGACTCCCAGGAATAAACCAGCTTCCAGCTCCCCCACCACACCCCAACCCAGCCTTCACTCTCACCTCCATCTCAGACCCAATGGAGGCAGAATGGCGGTGCCTTAGGAAACACCATTGCAAAATAAAGGGTTAGCCCTGAGATTTTTCTACCATCTGGGCATGGCTCGCTCTTGCTCCCCCTCCAAAATGAACTTGTATTTGGTTTACTGACATTTATTAGATTTCCAGTGAAAAGCTCTATAAAATACAGTAAGTGACATAGGGTATGTGGGGCAGACGTTCCAGCTGCCTGTGGTACAGACGTCACACTAGGGTGCAGGCCACCAGAACTGTGATTTCATCAGACACATGAGGCTTCAAACGCTAAAGGCAAGACGCCGCTTTGGACGGGAATCATCACACTCTCGGGTCGCTCCTTCCACCAGGCTCTTCCCCTGTCGCTTACACGCTGCTTTCAGAGTGTGTCCAGCAAGGAGTAAATGAATGCATACGGGACTCGGAGCTAGGAGAGCGTCTGGGTATTGTGAGCATGCAAGTTCGCCGTTTCTGTTATTATAAATAAAAGTCAAACATGAGGTCGCACTTCCCCATCTTCTGTTTATACACAAGGTCAAACTTCTCGTTCATGGAGACGGTGAAGATGTCCTTCCACAGTCCCACTCTACCTGCAACACAAACCAAAGCAGTTTGCTGTATCCACTGCTGTCAAGCCAGCTTCTGAACCACAGGGAGCCCTGGAAGCTTCCAGATCTACTCCTGGACCCTTCTGAACTTGGCCTATGGGGTGGGATGGGTCACCCAGTTATAGATCGCCTGGGTCCCGAAATGTGACGTTATAGCACATAGCAGAACATGTACTGAGCCAACTCCCCCCAGGCCTGGAAATGAAGTGAGCATAGTCACCTCTGCCACTTACTCGCCAGTGAGCCTCCCAGAGGTCCACACTTAAGGCCCCCGGGAGGGACTGCACCCCTCACTGGGCTGACTGCCCAGCACCAGCAGAGTGGAGGCTTGGGAACCCTCCCCAAGGGCAAGAGCTGCGCTCTGGCATCACATGAAGTTGCAATGCTATGACTCACTCAGCTCAACAGCTCCACCTGTAATACGTCGCTTGCCTCTGATGAACTTGAAAAAGAAGAAACCCTCCCAAGGGCAGAGACCATCATGGCAAGTAGGAAGCCTTCCTGACAGGTCAAGGCAAGCCTGCACTGGAAAACTTGGGGAGCCCCTAATGTGTGGCGTGAACTCACTCTCAGGTGAGACGCACACTGCGTTGCACAAGAGTTAATTCCCCAACTTGACCCCAGAGCAAGTCTCATACCAGCCTGCTGCCCATCAAAACCAGGCCTCCTCCTGGCACTGCTCTTGGCACAGGCTGAGGTACAGATGCCAGGCTACAGTGGTTTAGGAAGGCTTGGGGGAAAAAGAGAACCAAGCATGCTGACAGAAGCCACAGACCCCATGTTCCTTGTTAACTACAACATCCTTGGTGAGCTGGGTCTGAGAGCAACGAGGACTCTGAAAGTCAGGAGTGGGGATTCTGAACTTCCCCCGCCACAGAGCAGTGCCATGGCTGCTTCCAAGAAGCACGTTGGGGGTCACATCACTCCTTTACAATTCTTTCGCCTCTGAGGCCGGAACTCTGATGTCTCCAGCAGTGTCCCAACACAATGGGATTTTTCTCTTTGGTAATACAAGCTATCAGTGTTGGAGAGGTGAAAAAAATGGTTCTGGTAACCTTCTAATGATACCAAAGTGACAAAATTAGAAGCTTCTAGACAAATCAGACTAAAAATATATTTTTCCACAATTATTTTTCTCAGCTGAGCTCGTCGGGGGAGTCACCCACCTGGTTTAGGGTTTGGAATCAAGACAATTTATGGTGTGATATGAACCAAGTGTAAGCATGCAGCTGGCTCCCCAAGCCCCTGCATCCTCACCACCTCAAGGAGATCTTCTGAGCACAGAGGCAATGTGCTAAAAGGAAACAAAACCACAGAACTGAAATAAAGCAAACCAAGGCAGACAATGGAAAGCAAACAGCTCCGAGGAGCACGCAGGCAGCCGCACATTCTCCACACACCACCACGCAGCAGCCAAAGGTGCTCCAGAGAGGTCATGGCCAAGGATAACACAACACAGCAAACAAAACTAAAAATGGCAAATAAATTTTAAATAATAAATACTTGTGAGGATGCAGCCAGGAAATACACTGCAAGGCATTTTGGTCTGGTTCATGTTTTCCTATAAGAGCAGACTGCTCAGCCTTCACGAGCAAGGCCCTGTGCACTTGATCCTCAGACGGTCCATTGGCCAACTGGCCTGTTTTTAGAGGCAGGACAAGAAGCTATGGACAGAAGTTCCATCTGGGCAACAGTCAGGCTGCAATCAGAGATAGCCCCTGTGTTCCCCACACTGGGTACTTCCTGCTCCTTCTCACACAGGCTGCAGGAGACCCAGCCACAGTTCTGTAACCTCCCCTCAAATTTCCTCACCACCAGGAATTCCCATTTCACACCACTAGGAACTGACTTTAGGCCTACAACGCCACATGTCCACGAGAGCCATACTTACCAGGAGGGGGCTCAGATGGCACAGCTGCTGCCCTGGGGTTTGCCCTGAGGGCTGCAATGCCCAAGCTCCCCACCACCCATGTGTCTTTAAGGGCAGAGAGAGTGGCCCAGTAGAACTGGATGACTCCTACCTAGAATCTCCCCCATCCCCAATGGCTGCATGCCCAACAACTGCTACCTGCTGCACAGGCAAGCACTGGCCACCTTCATGGGTGCCCTGCCCTGTCTACACATACTGGCCTGGACCAAGGCTGGGACACTCCTCATCTGCTCTGCCTGCACCCAGAAGTGCTGTCTGGGTGAAGGAAGGAGGAGGGCATGTCCTCACGTGGGAACCATATTCCTGGCCCATTCAGCTCGCTCTCCCACACACCAGCCGAAAGCTGAGAAATCCTTTGACCTTCCCTGGGCTTTGAAAGTTCACAGCACCCAAGCCCTGCCCGGATCTGCTCTGTGGGGTATTTGATTTTGGCCACCAGGAAAGGTTCTGCTTGGACACATCTTGCCCACAGAGCCTGCACTGGCCTCCTTGAGCTGCAACACTAAGTGCCAAATTACAGGTGCTGGCGGTGGGGGGGCACCACTGTGCCATGAGTACCGTGCCATCAACAGGCACCAGCTGCACAGGGAGAAAACGATCCTGAAAGACCAAGGCTACAGACAAGGAGAGGACTGAGGACCCCCGACAGGGAGAGCCTGGTGGAGTAAGAAGGGAAGGAGACACTCACCCCGACCCACAGGCAGGGCCTCAGCATTGCAGCACTGGTCCACCAGCTGGTGGCAGTGCTCAATCAGGGACTCCAGCTGGGCCTTGTCGCAGGACACACCCAGAAATCTGGCCAGCTGCTCCACCATGGTCACCAGGTCCTGGAAGACAAGGACAGAGAGCGGAGCAGCCCATGAGAGGCGGTGCCTTTTCCCGGACACCTGTGCCAGGCTAAGCACCCACTCAGGGCTGCTCACGCCCAGCATACCCACTTCCATCCTTACTGCTCCAGACGGGTTGGGTTGTCTGGACTACCCGAGGGCACTGGGCTCTCAAGCTGCAGTCACAGCCACAGCACCTGAGCTCCATCCCCAGTACTGCAACATTCTCCTGCCACCCAGCCTCTGGGATCTATGACCCTGGAAGCCTAGCAGACCCCTCAGGCCCAGGCCAGCCCATCTACCCCACAGGGCAGCCTGAAAGAAGTGCTAGCTATCTTTGAGGGTGAAGCATCACAGACTACCACAGTCCTGAGGGGTACACCTTGCTCTCTACACCTGCTCTGCTCTCTGCAGCCACCATTTCCTCCCTGGGAGATACTGAGGCATCTCCTAGTCCCAAGGAGAACCCTGAGCTGTCACCTGTGAGTCCCCAGCACTGGCAGCTGTCTTGGTTGCACACTAGGGAAATACTACAGGCAGTTTCCTCTGGAAGGCTTAGAAAGCAGATTCCCAACTGAAGCCCCTGGGAGGTCTACAGTAAAGACACCTGCCTAGGTTCATTTCCCAAACCTTAGTGGGAAACACTCGGTTAACGGCGGCCCAAGCGTCCACTACTCACTGGATTCCCAGAGCATCAATCTGGAGGACTTGACCCTGGGCCCCATTCCTGCCTCTAGGATTCCTGCCTCCCTGGGGCAGGTGGGACTTGGCATAGGGGGATTACATGGGCAAAGGATATCAGAGCGTGAGCAAAGGCATCAAAGGGACCATGGCCACTTGCCCTGCCACTATTTAAAAGGAAAAAGGAGCAAGAGGGAGAAAAACAAAATCTGGCCCTCAGAGGGGCTGCCACAGGGCAGGGCCACAGCTGGCCAATAAAACATGGAGAGCTGGAGTGGCCCACAGGACGGGGGCAGTCCTGTGATGGGACAGCTCGGCACGCATACACATCCATCTGGGGGAGAACAACTCTGCACCCAGCTGCACGCTGGGACACTGATCGGTGGCCACGAAGCCAAGTCTGGAATCGGGCGGCATTGCTGCTCGCCCACTCTGGACCACTTGCTCCATCCTCACAGCTGCGCTTCCCCTGTGGCTAGGGGCTGAAAGGAGCACTCACCCTGGGGTCTGTGGCAATAAGCTCAAGCCCTGTGACTCAGCAGTGTTTGGGATCAGGCGCCACTGTCAAGGGAACCTCAGGGACTGGTAGGAACCCCAACATGACCACAAGGGTGAATGGAAAAGAATGAGATGCCAGTGCACCTGGGGCACCTATGGGCACAGCCCATAGCCCAGGGAGCACTGGCGAGCAGCAGTGGGATGGCTGAGGCAGTAAGGAGCAAGTGCTCTGGCCCTACAGACTTCCACTAAACAACAGAGAACAGCCCTGGAGACGCCCATGTTCACCCAAGGGCCCTTCATCTCCACCAGACACCCCAGACAAGACTGAGGTCTCTGAAAACAGAAGAAACTCATGGGTTAGAAGTTAATGCTGCAGAGTGCAGTGGTCCCTGTGGTGCTGCAAGCCTGGTCTCAGTGTGGTGGCCCTGGAATCTTTCAAAGGCAGGAAGTAAGAAGGTAACTGAGGCACTGCTGTGGAGGCAAAGGGTGCAGTGCTGGTAGGACCCCATTTAGTTCTCACAAAAGGGCAGTTGTGACAGAACAAGTCTGAACCCTGAACCTCTGGCTTCCTGTCACACCATGTGACCTCTCCCTCTCACGTGTCTACTGTCATGATGCCATCCTCCCACAGCACTGTGGGGGTGGGTGACACCATCTCTCCACTCAGAGGCCCAGGGGTCATGACTTTGGCCTGAGTAGTTCAAGTCCAGCATCCAGGTCACTCCCCAGAACCACAGCCTCACAGAGGTCCATCCACAGCAGAGCCAGGCATGGCCCACACATCCCTCCACCACACCAACCTCAACCTGAGAGGTGGGCAGGACAGGGCCAGAAGGCTAAGCCATGTCTCATGGTGCATCTGGCCTTTGTTCCAGCAAAGTTGCATGACCACTGGCCTGCTTCCTCATCTACAGCATAGGCCATGGTGAGGATTCACCAGGGGAATGCTAGAGGCAGCACTACAGGGCAGCAGGTGCACACAGGCTCTTTCCTGTACAAAGAAGATGTATATCTGCCTGGCAGATGTGCGATCACCTGGTTGCCAGGCAGGCAGGACCTGGCCTGCTGGGGTCACAGGACTTAGGGCTCAGGTGCCCAAGGAGGTGCAGAGAAAGCCAGGAACTATTTAGCAAATGTCAGGCCATGCCCTACCTCCAGCACAGATATCCTTCTGTGGTTCTTTCCACAGTCGAGTCTCTAACCAGCAAACCTCCTATGGGTGTGGGGTGAAACACAGGCTAGCAGTTGATGCCTGTTACTCTCCCTGCACTTCCACAGGGGGCAGCCTGGGCATCCTGCCAGGAGGCAGTGGCCCTCTGCAAAGGTGAGCCCAGGACACAGGCCCTCACCCTTTTCTGGTACAGTGTGCACCCAGAAAATGGCCACTGCCCCCAAATTCACAGGCTCAGCCCAGAGTACTGCAGGAGGGGACAGGTAAGGGCAGGGACAGAGAGGCAGGTGGGTACCACACCAGTGACAAGAGTCCCCTCCGTGGGCTCAGGAACCACTGCCACTCCAGTGCTGGGGTCCCACATGTGACTTCCTCACCTCCACCCTGTGTCCCCTCCCTCCACAGTCCCTATAGATCTCTAGAGTGAAATTCAAATCCACTCAGGCCTCTACCTCACTAATGTTGCTTCTAGTCCATCCCCGATTCCTGCTTCACCCCCACTAACCTGGACTCCTCCAAACACAGCAGGCAACATGCCCGGCTGCTCAGTCCTGGTCTGCCTGGTGCTGCACCCCCCCATATGATGTGTGAGCCTGGCTCTTCCACAGTCCAAGAGGTAGACTGTGTGTGTTCAAGGATTGTACCAACTGGTCAGGAGCACAGCTTCCTGTGTTCCAGTGGCTTGGTCAGCACAGCCCCTTGACTCTCTGTGCCTCAGACTTCTTCTGGAAATGGAGGTAAGGATTTTCATCTTGCAGGTCACTCACTCATTCAACAAACATTGAGGGCAATTCATGTGTCAGATGATGATTTAAGAGCATGAACAAGACAGAACAATGCCCCACCCCAATGGAATGTGTTAGAACACTAAGTAAAATGAAGACACAATAAAATACACTAAAGATCATAAATATTTTGAAGAACAATGAAGACTGAAGTGCTGGGGTCGGGGGGTGAGGGAGTCCTGCTGTTGGGGTGGCCTATAAGCAAACCCAAAAGAGGTGAGAGGGCAACTCATAAGAGTATCTGAAGAACATTCTGGATGGGTCAGAGAAAACACAGAAAGCTTAAAACAGAAGCTGGTGGGACAGGTTCGAGGATCAGCAAGAAGTCAGCATGAGCTAAAATGCCCAGACAGCCAGGTGTAGCACACACCTGTAATCCCACCAACTCAGGAAGCAGAGGCAGGAGGACCATTAGTTCAAGGCCAATCCAGGCAAAGTTAGCAAAGACTTTCTCAAAAAATACAAAATACAAACAAAGGCTGAGGGCATGACTCAAGTGAGACAAGGCTTGCCTAGCAAGAAGGGGACCCTGGGTTCAATCTCCAGTACTTCAAAAAAAAAAAAAAAAAAGTCCTGGACCATGGCAGTTATGGGGTCTGACCATTACCCAGAGCACCATGGGCTGAGGAAGGCATGATCTCAGTCTTAGTGCCACTGGTGCAGCTGCTGTGCTGAGAAGACTCGATGGACAGCCGGGTGGGGGGGAAGGCTGCTCAGGCACATGCTGCAGTAATCCAGGCTGGAGAGGAGGACGCAGATCAGATCGACCTGTAGAACTGGGCATAAACCATCAAGTCAGCATCACCAGGCAAAGGCAGGGCCCAGGGGACTTGGAAATAGATAAGAGGGTGTACGAGAGAGGCATCTGGATGACTGAAGGATTTTTGCCTGAGTGCTGCTTGAGGGTGGGGTTGGCCGCATGACCTCAGAGGGAGCAGCTAAGGACTTGACGGACAACGTTCAGGGCCGGGTTTGGATGTGCTAAGTCTATGACCTCCCGCAGAAACGTGTCTGGAAGGGTCCACAGCTGGCCCGATGAGCCGCAGAGTAACCACAATATTCCGAGCCCAGCAAATGGATGAGACCACAGGGGAGTGAGCAGGTGAAAAGATGAGGGACAAGGCTGAGGACCGAGGCCTGGGGCACGTGGCCATCTATGGTCAGGGAGAAGAGGACAACCAGTAACAGAGACACAGCAGTCCAGGATAGGGTGGTGCTCTGGCAGCCCAGGGAAGGAGGTCACATGCCACCAGAAGGCTAGGTGATGGGAGCCCAACCACCAACCGCTCGCTTTAGCAACATGGAGATCACTGGACGATGACAGAGCAGCCTGGGAGCAGCAGGGCAAGGGAGTAGAGTTTGAGGGACTGATATGAGGACGAGGATGAGAGGGGTTGGGGGTGCAGTGAAGACCAGGGAAAGACTCCAGAGGAAGGGCAGTCAAGGCCAGGTTTGTTGCTCGCCTGTTTCAAGAAAGGAGAACTTCTGTGTGGTCCTCTGCAACAGACACAGACCCTGCCGGGAAGATGTGGCTGACCTGAGAATGTGACGATGCTCACACTGCTCCCGCCCCGGCACCTGCACGGGTTGAATGGCTGTGCCTTTGACAGTGACAAATCCTCGTTCCTCCTGGACATGGAGCCCTTGGGCCCAGGAGAAGCCTGCTCCACATGTCCACGCTCCTGCCCAGCCAGGCCGCATGCCCACACGAGCTCACCTTCTTCCCGGAGTCACTGAAAACCTACACCCAGGGCTGTCAGCAGCCTGAGAACCACCACGAAGGCAAAGGGCGTTAGCCATCCCAGCACTCAGCTCAGGCTGGCCCCCAATGGAAGTGGAGCTGGGGCAATGGTGAGACTCACCGGTGTCTACTTCCATGGCTAAGGCAGGAAAACCAATGAGCTCGCAGGCTTTCTCCAGCACCACACCACATCAGCCAACCCAGAACCTACCCTGCAGAACAGACCAGGGCAGAGGCCAGAGCACAGCCCCAGACCCAGGCCCAGGAAGACTCCTCTGGATCCCACTGCAGCCGTCACAGGCAACTCCACACCCTGGGACAGTGGCTTCCGGTGGCACTCACCCGGTGCATGTCTTCGTACTTGAGGAAAAGCACGTTTGCATCCATGCGGTGCTCCCAGAACTCCTGCACGTGCTCGAACCAGGAGCCATAGCCCACTGCGGAGACAGCCAGGTGCACAGCTGGTGAGGGTAGGGCCCAGGCGAGGCCGTGCCCCTGCCCCTCTCGGGCTGCCCTCCTGCCCACAGTGATGAGGTAACAAAGAGCAAGTTCAGAGCACAGCGGCCACTGGAGCAGGTCTCTCCTGCCAGCAGCCCTCACCCCACTCACGCCTGGGATCTGACCGGCAGTGAGGGCTCTGAGGACGGGTATGCACAGAACTAGGAGGGGACCTCAAGAGTGCCTGCCACTTCACCACTTACCAAGTAATCAAGGGGAAGACACCAATGTCCAGAGGAGCCAGGACACGGGGCCAGTCTGAGTTGCCAATGGGAAAGGATGGCACGTGGGAGGCTCTAGGATAGTTCTAGAAAGCGAGGCCCTGCTACATGAATCCTGGGTGAACCCAGGAGTTCCTAATAAAAGCAGAGATCTGAAGATTGGTGGGAGCTCTGTGCTGACAGGTGAGTAGCACCCCAGCTACACCACAGCCCTGTTCGGCCTGAATGCTTCCAGTTTGGGCTGGGTGCATGGTGACCACTGAAGGGCTCACCATTGTCTGCAGAATGTGTCACAATGTTCTTAGTGACAAGGTCCAATATGTACTCACCTCCCCAGCTGAGCTGCCTGGCCCTGCAGGGTTCTGCACCACACTCCCCTGTGGTACACAGAGGTGGGTCTCAGCAAGATGCTTACACAGGGTGAAACCCTGAGCAACCAAGCAACAGAAAAGGGCCCAGCTGCACGAGAAGCACCTGTCAGAAGTGGGGTCCAGAGGTTCCTCTGCTGGGCCCCAACCTCCAGGCCACCCAAAGCTTCCCACGGTCAGAGCTAAGCTCGGTGCAATAGCACACCATGGACAGACCCAGCCAACCTTTGAAATCTCTGCTAAGAAAACCTGCTCCTTTACAAAGAGTGGAGTCCTGGAAAGGGCAGTGACTTGCCCAAGTCACAACGAGTCACAGGAACTTGGACAGGGAGACCCAGGTCACCTGACTCCATCTGTTGGCTGGAACTCAGTACAGGTAGACTAGATCCTGGAGCAGGAGTAGCCAGATGGTCCGGGGAAGGGAGAGAGGAGGTCAGAGCAGCAGGAAGGGAGGGGAGGGAAAATGCCCCAATTGTGACGGAAGGCACCAGACTTCCAGAGAGCTCAGGCCCACCACGCCACATGGAGACTGCCTTGGAAGACCAAAAGCCCCATCAGCTGTGGACCTGGGGCACTGGGACAAAGGGAAGGATGCATGTGGCCAGGTGGGGAGTGAGCCTTCACCCCCAAGCCTCTCCAGGGAGGCCTCTCCTTTCTCCCCAAACCACTCACTCTGCATGGGGATGGTGAACCCACTCATGCAGGGGGTGTGAGAAATCACAGCTCACCAGAGCCCCAGCTAGGGAGAGGCCCCCTGTGAGCACGGCCCTACACGGCACTTCAGTGCAGCGTTCACAGAGTGTCCTCCACACTGCACGTTGTCACGGTGCCCTTGTCCACATGTCAGGGCTCCTAGCCACAACAACCCCCATGCTGCACATGTCATCTGGCCTGAGTATCCCTGGAGCCTCAGGCCACAGGATCTTCCCCCAAACATCCCATCTTCACCACATGACGCCCTCCACCCTATCTACTGGAAATTGTTCACCTTAGTACTCGCTGTGCCATCAGCCTCTGCCTCCTTTACTTCCTCAGGCCAGGAGGAAAGGCCTGTGTCCCTAGGTTTGCACACCAGCTGGGGTCCCTGAGCTTGCAAGAATGATATGTGGCATCACACAGTATCTGCTTTGTTGGGAGCCAGCTCGTGTGGCTCTGAACTCTGGGTGGGGGGACAGGGAGGACTGTGTCAGGACAACTTTTAATAGCAATGACTGAACACACAGCAGTCTGAACTTGGGAGACTCCTGCTGTCACTATTGTAGTCCCCATGCATCTATAGGGCAGGGGTGTGCTGGGACAGAAGGGAATGACAGTGATGTTAGGAGTCAGACACTTGGGATGCCCAGCAGACTGTGAGAGGTGCTCTACAGTAGGGAGGCTGGTGAAGCAGTCTGGGAAAAGGCCTGGGCGGGCGTGGAGTGCTCAGGGAGCAGGCGATTGTGCAGGGTGTCCGACTGGGCTCAGCCAAAGCAAAGACTGCACAGGAAACAGAATCACTGGGGGCCTCTAGGCCCTTGTGGGTTTAAACTGCCAGCAGCCGAGCACTGTGCTAAGCATGCTACACTAACAGGGGTCTCATCTCCCACAAGGCTAGGACTGGCAGCTCCGAGCCGCTGCCTCCATCCCCATTCAGGCCTTTACATTCCTGGATCCGCTTGCAGCCTTGTCCTGATTGTACAGCCCATATTGACAGCCTCCTCGCAGGACCCCTAAAACCCACTCAAGAAGTGGCCAGCATTTCTTCAGCTGGAAGTAAAACAGGAAATTATTTTCAGCCCTGGGTCCAGAACAGTCTCGGTGCTGATTTAAAGTGACCCACTTCCCGACATCTGGGTGAATGCTCCACACTGCCCACTTGCTGGCTGAGGACACCCACAGGTGTCATGGGAGAAGACAGAAATAGAACACCTAACATCATTTGGAAAAGACAAATGAAGAGAAGCAGGGTCCTAAGATCCCCGCTTTGTTGGGAGAGCAGCACAATGGGGTGACGAGGCCTCACTGCCCCCTGGGAAGGGGCAATCAGGAAGAATGCAGGGCTCTCTGCCCAACACACCCAGCTCCCCTAAGCATGCCCCACCCTATCATCTGCCTGTCCCTGAAGGCCATGTGACTGTCGCACCTAGCTGCTTCACTCTGGCCTCCACCCCTAACAGCAGTGACGCTGGGCCTCTGGGTTCCTGGTTTCCACTCTTCCCTTGTTCAGAGCAGGCAGAAAGGAGAGAGGCTCGACTAGGGACCTTTTAGGATGGAGAGTAGAGACCTGCAGTTCTGTGGACCTGCTCTGCCATAACCCCACTCTAGGATTCCGGACAAGTGCTATCACCCCCAGAGGCAGTGTCTCCATGTCCTGGGGGGAATGCAGGCCCAGTTGCAGGTTACCATGGGAGCCGTGAGACTGCAGGCAGAAGCACTTACACTTGTCATTCATAAACCTCCGGCAGAACTCCTGGAAGGTGCCGCGGTAGCTCATGGTCCTCAGAGAGCGGTGGAACTGGTAGTACGACACTACCAGGTCCTTGGGGTTACGAGCCATGTAGATGACCTGCGGAGACAGAGTGGGGTCAGACTCTACCCTGCCAAGGCAGCCCCTGCAAGCTTGGCTAGCCCACTGCTGGCTCCCTTGTTCTGAACTCACTCTCTTTCCAGTATCGGGGACCCACACATCCTCCCTCACTCTGACTGTGTTAGGTGACATGTGCTCTGGCCCATAAGCAGCTTTGCCAGGAAAAGCACCTGAGTAACTTTTTGTACCTCTGTCCTCTAGAACTACTTGAAAGTCAGCAGAGGACAGCAAAGCTTCGATCTGATCTGATACTGCTGATGAAAACCTCAGGATCCGTGTGACTAGGGGAAACAAAACCATCAACACTTGATCTTAGCCAAAATACCATCAAGAAGTGAAAGCAGCGGCAAGCACTATCCTCCCTCAGGTCACAGAGGTACTCAACCATGAGGGGGAAACCCCTAGAAGAGTGGATAAAATGTGCTGGGCCCGGTGGCTCACAGCTGTAATCCCAGCCACTTGGAAGGCAGAGATCACGAGGATCCCAATCACCTCTGGTGGTGGCGAGCACTTATCATCCCAGCCAGGCAGGAAGCTACAGGTAAGTAGATCACTTTCTAAGGCCAGGCCCCGGGCAAAAGTAGGACAGACCTTACCTGAAAAATAACTAAAGCAAAAAGGCTAGGGGAATGGCTCAAGTGGTGAAGTGCCTGCCTAGCAAGAGTGAAGCGCTGAGTTCGAATCCAAGTAAAATGCTGGAGACATGATGCAGACTGACTCTCTAAGGACCTTCACAGGCTGAAGTCCTCAGGAAGAGCCCCAAGCCAGTGGGCAGTGCAGCCTGCGGTGTCTACACAGGCCTCAGGCTTTCCTTACTGGAGGATTAGGGGTGGGGAGGAGATGGGGCAGGTTACCTTGGAGTCCCCATTGTGGAGGTCAGAGGGCAAGAAGCGGTAGGGGAGGTGGCTCTTGATGAGGCGGGGGGACGTCAGTTCCTGCAGACAGAAGAGGGTTCTAAGAGGAGGCACATCTGTCACTGTGGTCTCCTCATAGGGCCAACAAGACCAAGAAGAGAGGACCCTGGATCAAGTAGGACCCAGCACATCCCCTGACCACCTTCTAACCCGAGACCTCTGGTGACCTAACACAGCCTGTCCTCAGTCTGAGGGTGAACCTCTCATAGCCACGGGGGTTGATGGAGAAACCTGGGAGCCACTGATCTGGTCTGGAGTCCAAGGAAGGACCCACAAGGGCCAGCAGAGAAAGCTCAAAGCACAGGCTGAGGAGGCACCTCAAAACCATCATGGCACCAGCCTGATGCTCTGCTGCTTCTCCTGGCCTTTGGACCCTTCTCACATAGCAGCCAGGCTGGCCCTGTGAAGCATCTCTGGCATTCCACTCCTGTGCTCAGACTCGCTTCCCCACTGCCCTCCCCTGCACCCACAGCCTCCCCTGACTCTCCAGCCTCCCAGGCCACCATGCCACAGCCCAGGGCCTTCCTGCTGCTTAGGACAAGCCAGGCCCCTTGGGCCACAGGATCTTAGTGCCCACTTCTTCCTCTACACCTTCCTCACATACCCCCACTGAGAGGCCAGCCCCATCCCTTAAAGATCTGCCCCCCTCTAGCACTGACTACTGTTTAACCATGACAAATTTCTGTCATGTGAGGTGATGGCCTGATGCTATCAGTTCACTGCTGCACCCAACACCAGGCACAGTGTGTAAGCGCTCAACACACTCTGAGTGATTCATGTCAGAAGCAATGTGACAGAGCATGGGGGACGGACAGCGGAGTGAGCTCAAGAGGCCAGGGTACAGCCAGAGACCAGCTCACCCTCGGCAGGGCCCACAGAGAGATCTCCTGCCATGACACAGGGGATGAGGGCCCTCAGAGTTGTATTCCACAATGTTCTGCTCTAGTGGAAGAGCAGGCGGGCATGTCCAGGGCTGTGGCTCTGGCCCACTCAGTGGCCCACACAGAGAGTGAACTAAAGAGGAAGCAGAGTGGGCAGAGAGGAGAGAAATCCCTGTACCTCAGAGCAGCAGAATCCACAGGACTTGAGGATGATACTCACCAAATACTTAATGCAAACGCATCCTCTCCAGCTCCCTGGACAGGTGGGGTAGGTGGAGGGAGGCCAGGGGCCTCCTTCCCACTAGCAGTCCCTCAGCCTGTGCACCCCCAGCCACTCACTTCCTCCCACCTCACAGATTCCCCACCCTGACAGTCATCCTATCTTGACCAGTCCCAGGTCACACCATGGCTGAAGCCCATCAGTTTCTCTCACCTGGCTATGGTACCATCTGGGAGCCTACTATTGTCCCCAGCCACAGAGTCCCATGAGCCCCTTCAGAAGCACCTGCCTCTCATCAGCCGAGGTCGCAGACGCCCTGCCCCGATGGGGGCTGGCAGGGCGGGCAGGCAGTACCTTGATGATGTCCAGGCCTGGCTGCGGGTACTCCAGCACCGGTAGCTGCTCATCAATGTTCATCAGGCCGATCTCATCTGGGTCGGCTCCCTGGCTCACCAGGTAGACCACCTCCTGCAGTAGGCTTGTGCCTGGGGAGAGAAGGTAAGGACAGGTGCTCAGAAGATGCTGGGCCAGCTCTGCACTCAGGGTGACATCTGCTGCCCACAAAGGGGGCTGAGGGCCCCAGGGAGCAAGCTAAGTATGATAAAAGGGTACTAGGCCAGGTGCAAGATCTGAGGCCGAGCCCCATCTCTGCTGGGTAACCTGTGAAGAAGTATTCTCTCTGACTCAGTGGGCAGGATGTTTGGAGAAGGGAACAAGATGGCACCTGTTACTCGGGGCTCATGGGCTGTCACTCACCGAGGTCGCTCTCAACCCTGGGGCCTCCAGGAGCTGAACTTTTCGGCTGATGCAGGAGTGACCAGGGCTGCTCAGTACCTACTAAAGCTAAACACACACATGGCCTAGGATCCTGGGCACACCCTGAGGGAAATAAGCCCAGGCTGGCTTTCCAAGACCTTCATCAAAGATGGTATCCCATGCCAATGGCACTTGCCATGATGGTTTCCTTTGCTTGAGGGTTGAGGCGAAACTGAGCTATGTGGCAGGTGAGGCCAGAGGCTATGAGGGAAGATTAGTGGCTCAGAGAACACAGGAAGGGAAGTCTTGTGTCATGAACTTGATCCTGGTGGGAGTTATGTGGAAGCATGTGTGTTACTCTCAGTTAAAGAGTTAAAGAGAGAACCCAACCCTGCCTGCAAAGGCCTCCCCAAAACTGCAAGGAGACACCTCCAAGGCCAAGAACAGACCTGAGGTCCACGCCTTGCCCATGCATGGGCAGGGAGGGGCCCATCAGGAACATGGGTGCTCTCAGTCACTGGTGAGACCTGCTGACCAACTCCTCCTCCTCCTCACCAGACAGCAACACAGTACGGACAGGACCCCTGTGTGATTCGGGGACCATCCCTCTAGGACAAACAGCACATTTCAGACTCAGATTCCATCGCCCCAACCTACAGCCCTTCCACAGCTTCCCACTGTCACTAATGAGGCCCAGGCACAGCCATCACGGTTTGAGTTCCCCACAGCCCAGCCTCAGCCTCACAGGCAGCCTTGGGCCCCCTCCCCCACAGGCCTGTCTCCCTGCGACATACTGCTCTCTCCTCCTGCCATGCCAGGACAGCATATGGCCGGAGCGCTCAGAATTTCCTAGAGACAGGAAGAGCAGGGGCTCTGCGTGCAGTGGGCAGTGGGCAGCCATACACACGCTGCCTTGGGCATACAGTCCTGCTTGAGTCCCTACAGCCAGGGGGACCCCAAGCCAATCAGCTGGGACCAAAGGGGCTGGTCAGAGAGAGGGAAGTAGCTCATCCTCCAGCCCTGTGGGTTCACACTCCCAGCACCCAGAGCAGCACCTGGACTCACTAAGCCTCGCCATCCTGTCATCACCTCCCATGAGCTCGCAGAACGAGCAGGGCGCAGCTTACACACTGTCCCTTCACTGCGGAGGCACAGTCCCTGGTGCTGGTGGCTCCTCTTGGGCAGCGGAGAGTACAGCTCTGGCACCCTCCTCAGATGGCCTCACCCACTCCAACCACAGGCAGGTTTCACAGGGCCTCAGTAGGCTGGCTCCAGGTCACAGCTGGTGAAGTCTGGGCCATGGCCCAGGCCACATCACTCCAGCAAGCGAAACAGCAGGCAGACTCACCAGTGCACAGCCTTCTGCCTACTACATGCCTTAGCAAGTCCCGTTGACCCCACCAGCTGCATGAGCAACCAGGGCTGATCCTGGCCAACACTATCCTCACTCATGGCTGACCCACTTCCTGCAAGGGCTCTACACCATGCTCTGTACCGCCCAGAACCCACCCTCCACTCTGCTTTCAACATAGTGGCATGATTCAAACACAGACGACAGGTACATCCACAAAGACCTCCAGATAGCTTCTCGCTCCCCACAGCCAAGATGAAGCTTTAAGCTGAGTGTGGTAGCACACGGCTATGGGAACAGCACTCCGGGCTGAGGCAGAAGGATCCCAAGTTCCAGGCCAGCCTGGGCCACACAGTGAGACCCTTTCTCAAAAAAAAAAAGAAAGTAAGTAAGGCCTTACTCAGCCTGCCAGGCCCCACCTTCCCTTCCCTCCCTCCTTCCTCTATGCATCTATTCAGAGGTCACCTATCGTCCTTCACTCTGTTCCACTGTCCCCATCCTCAGGTACAGTGCACATTCCTTCCTGTGCCCCAGGATAGGGGCTATTGTGTCCGGTCTTGGTTGGAGTGGGAGAGCCAGGATTCCCAAGTGCTCCATCCATTCTCTCATGACCCAGCATGTCCCAAAGGACCCTCCCATGACCTGGGGTGTGGACACCACCACCCCATTTAAACAGGAGACTCTGAATACCAAAATGTGGTGTGGTTGGCCCACACCTTTCTCCTGATGAGGACATCCACCCCACAGATCAGGGCAACTGCACCCTTACAGAACAGAGCACCTAAAATGAGCCCTTCCCAGTGCCACTCTAGGTATCTATTTTTAGTGCCTCCAGCCCCACAGGCCGATGCCCAGGTGGACCTTCTCTGCACACTAAAGCCTCTCCATCGATACCAACCACTGTCATTCTACAAATCCCACGCTCACCTCATTAAACATTCATGTCAGAAGACTCGGTCTCCAGGAGCCTCCAGGAAGCTCCTTCCTGAGCTGACCAGGCCCCTCGCCCCTGTCCAGTGGCCTCTCTCCAGCCCCCGCCACGGCCCTTTGCTGCCTGAGCACCTCTCGGAGGTGCCGCCCTTCTCCAGCTTCTGGTGTTACCAACGGGTCAACAGGGACAGCCGAGAGCCTGCCTGGCACCAGGCAGAGAAGGCGATGCACAGGAAAAGAACAGGGAGCAGGTCCTGCCCTCCCGAGGCAGCTGGCAGGACCTGACAAAGTGACCAGAGAAAAGATAGACTAGAGATGTTGATGACACCTATGGATCACTCGGCCCATCCACATGGGCTTCTGAGCAGCCTGAACCAAAGACCCAATCGCAGGCTTCAGGATCAAGCACCGAGTTCTGCAGGGGCTTCTGCCAGGCACCACAGGGGCCTCCCACTGCTGTCTTTCCATCCCCAATGCCACATCTCAGTTCCATCCCCCAACTGGTACCTCTGCCCTGCCCCTATGACCTCTCCACCCACCCCAGGCAGCCCTCTGTTAAGGGCTCTTGTTGTCCCAGCCTCGAAACCCTGCCCAACCCCCAGTCTCCTCTCTCCACCCGCTCTGAGCTCCAGCAGGTCTCCACCTCCACCACAGCTCAGCAGCCCAAGGCCTCCAACCAGCAGCCATTTCGGGGCCAAGGGACTTGACCTGAGGGTCACTGCCCCCAGAAGCCTTCCCCGACACCCCACATCTTGGTCAGTCCTGTACTTACTGTCCTATGCGTCACATGGTGCCTGGCTGGGGGCAGGCTCAGGGAAGGTAGGGGGCTGGTCTCACTCAGACCCACTCTAAGTTCTGGAGGTCAGAAGTGCTGACCCGGAGGTGTGGGCGCAGCTCTCCACTCCAGAGACTCTGGAGGACAGCCTCTGTGCTCTGCTCTCTCCTCCCCATCCTCTAGCCCTGTAAGAGGCACCCACTCGCCCACCACCTACTTGGCAAGCCTGTGCCAAGGGTCACCACTGAGGGTCACCCAAAGGGTAGAGGAGAGACACCATCCCTGCCTCTCCGACAAGCAACAGTGGAAGGGTCACCGATGACCTACTCAGAGAGAAGAAACTCAGTGAACAGCAACTCCAGGCACACAGATTCTGAGTGTCATGGCACGGAACCACCAACGGCAACTGCCCTCATCTGAGAGCACGCCATCAGACCCGGAATACGGGGCCAGCCTCATGCTCCTGCTTGCGGCCTCAGGAGACAAGTACTTCTGTCATCCACAAGGCAACAAATGCAGGGTGGAGGCTGCAATCCAGGGTCAGAGCTGGAAAGTGGGGGCCCACGTTCCAACACGCCTGGGGAGCAGAGCAGCAGTGGGAGTGGGAGTCCTAGGGAGGCTGCAGGACCAGGACGCATAGGGCAGGGGCTTGGTGGCTGCGGCCAGGCTGCTGCAGACAAGGGAGGCCCTGCAGAGAACCAGCCGTGCGGCCACCAGCCAGCCTGATGCCAGGGGATCCACCTGCAGGAGAGAAGAGCAGACTAGCACAGGCCACGCTCTGCAGCTCTGCACACCCACGGGCTCGGTGTGGCCACCACAGTGTGCTGCCGACGGGGTCCCCGCTGAGTGGCAAGGGTTCAGCTCCAGGGTGGATGGCAGTGCTCTGGGACCTGGGATCTGGGATGCAGACCACAGAAGTCCCTGGAGCTCAAGGGTGGAACTGTCTAGGAATCCAGGAACAGTCTGTTGACACCACCCATGGAAGCCGGCAAAACCTCTCCAGAATTCCAAGGTCAGAATGAATCAGAGTACGGTCAGAGCCTCCAGGATACTGGGGCTTGGGCCTTTGGTTTTCACTTACAACATTTACCAAAGTCACACTACCACCTAGTTTTAAAAACCAGAGTCCTGTGGGGTGCTTAACATAAAATCCCAGATCCACCTGGGCAGGCTGCGGGTGGGACTCAGCTGCAGAGCCCCTGTGAGGCCCATCCCAGCACCACAAGAAGATCTGTATTCCCCTCCCTACCTGAGTCCCACTCCCCAGAAAAACCCTTGGGTAATTCTACAAAATGTCATTTCAAGACCTGTGTGGATCACACAACCTTCTGACCTTTGACAGGGAGGTGAGGACGTAGCCCGGCGCTCCCTCCCCCAGCTTCTCGCCTCCCAATAATCACAGCAGGCTCAGGACGCAGGGCAGCTCTGATCCAGTGCTCGGGCGAGTGTACACACAGGGCTCGCACATCCTGCCCCGGACAGCGCCTTGGCTTTCCTGCGTAGATAACATCTTTGCTAGCTTCCTTGGTTTTCTACATAGCTGTTAATAATTCAGCTCCAACACAACCCCCTCAGCGGAGCCAAAGACGCCGACACTTGCCCGTCATGGTGGCCCCTTATCCAGTGACGGGTGCCAAGCCCCCCAGCGGCTGTCTGAAGGTGGATATACTTTC